TCTTTCAAAATCGGCTTCAAACTCATTTTTTCTCTTTGGCCTTTGACTAGGCCTGAGACTTGATTTTTACTTTGACTGTTTCTGTGCTTACGACCGTCCTTGTTCTGAATTTGTTTTATTGTTTGTTGTTGTTTGATGAAAGATTTTTGCTGCGTGTACAGCACTTTGTAGATAGCGGTGGTTGTCTGAAAAGTGCTCTCGAAATCGACTCGAGTGTTGTTGAGTTGAGAAAAGGGGTTTGTAATTGCCTATTGATGCCACAAGATGGCGTCAATGCCCATAAAACAGAGAGGATGGAAAAGCACAAACGGCGTCCGTGTACACGATCATGAAGCCACTAAAACAGAGAGGATGGAAAAGCACAAACGGCGTCCCGTACACTATCATGAAGCCATGTTCCAGAGACACTGTCATTCAACTATGCAACACACACACACACAAAATCCACATTCCTATGAGGCGTCTGAATCATTTCGCATCGGGGCCAATTTTTTCTATGTATTTTTTTGCATTCGGGCCAATTGATCACGCTCGCACCAAAGTACCATGACGTCAGGCATATGTGCAAAGAGTATTCTGTCAGTCGAGTTCCTATTTGGAATCCACACGTGATAATCGAACGACGGGAGACGGGCAAACTTTGGGGGAAGCTTGGATGGACTAAAGCCGCTGTCGGGAGCTGAGTCGCTCGCAAGAGACGCAACCGCAAATTGCTTCGCAGCAACAACAACAGCAGGACATTTCGCAATGAATTCAATCCGAAAGCAACGTCGAGATGCCACGAGATGGCGCTAAAGTCAAACTTTTCTTGTTTTGATTTGAGCGCAAAACCACCAGGGCGTGGGGTGGGGGTGGGTGGGGGTGCTCGAGCCAGTGCAGGGTTGCTTCCACCCAGTAAAAGTGGGTTGAGGATTTGGCCCAGCATATTGGGTCAAGATTGAGATCCAACGAGGAAACAATGTCAACTTCAGTGGTCCACGCTTATTCCCCAAATGGCGACCAGCTTCAACTCTTCACATGGCTCAAGAAATTTCACCCAACCTGGGGCAAAAGTAACTCAAACCGCCCAGCGAGTGGTTCGCAGAGGCAACCCGGCGAGTTTGTTGTTTGTTTGTTTGTTTGTGAGCACCCAGAATGATTTGCATTTTGTACTGTGCGGGACTGAAAATTGCTTCCGGGGCGCATCGTGGCCAGGTGCTGACTTGGCCGACGCCTTGCGTGCCCCCCCCCGCGCACGTGCACACGCAGGTGCACTTGGACGTGCGACGGCTCGGACATCGCGCGCCAAACGGCCGCGTCCGCTCCCACGCCGACGGGACACAGCGCTTTTTCAACTGCCGCGCTCCCCGAGGGCGTCCCCGGCGACGCCTGCGGTCCCGTGCGTGGCGTCATGGGCCCCCAAGTCGCGGCGTCTTGGGGCCACTCGACGCCGCCGCCCACATCGCGGGAGGTCACGCGCGAGCCCGAGGTCAGGGGGACTTACCTTGTGCTCCGCGGGAGTCGGGACGGGAGGAGCGACGGCGCGTCGTGGCGACTCGAAGGGCGGGCGCGCGTCTGGAGGAGCGCGAGCGCGTCAGCGGGGAAGCGCGCGCCTCGGCGGGGACAAGGCGGAGGAGGAGACTGAAGAGCGCATCTCCAGCAGCGTGCGCGCAACTTGCGCCGAGTCCTGGAAAGCCCAAATCGAGCTCGTCCTTGCACCGGAACCGGACCACTCTGTCTCACGTCAGCGCGCTATTTGTGTCCCAAAGCGGGCAGGGTCGGGCGGCGGGGAGTTCAGCCTCACGGGTGTGAAAGATGGACGCCAATCAGCCGCCAAATGTGAGTCACAAGCTACGTGGGGGAAAAAAGAATCGACCGGATTGCCAACAGCACTTCTTCCTTCAAGGGTCCTCTTCCCGTGTAGTTTTGACAAGTGCAAACTGTCAATCCATCTCCACCACAAGGAATGATACCCGAGGGAAGTCCACCCAAGTTGGGACGTTGTGTCAGCAGCAGACAGCGAGTTGCAAATCATCTTCAACATATGCTGAATTGAATAGTTGACGTTCAAAGCCATCAACCCGATTGTTTGTCGGAGCAAATCGGTTTCATTGCCTTGCAATTTGACGGCTGCGACACGTTTGAAAAACGCCGCCACGGGGCCGTGCGTGGTCACCGGTGTGCATTCCACCGCCTTTGCGTTGAACAATGTTTGGGAACGGCGAGTGGTGAAGCTTTGGAAGTGCGCTTCTTTCCCGCTCCCGCCTGATATATGGCTCCGGGGTTCTGCGTTGTTGTTTTTCAGGCCGCATGATGCGCCACACACATTTACGGGTCTGGACTGCGGGCGGGCCAGACTCTTTTGACTCCAAAGCCACGCTGTTTTCACACGCGCAGACTGCGCTTTGGCCGTCCGTGTCTTGCAGAAAGAACCACGAAGAAATTTGACGGCTGCGACACGTTTGAAAAACGCCGCCTTGCTTGGATGGTGGCATTTTTTTTTTTCCTCATAAAAGCGGCACGAATGGCGCCTCCACGGACGTGTGAGTTAGCCATGCCACCGGCACCAACGCGGCCCCAAAGCACCACAGATGCCGGCTTTGGAAGAGTCCGGATGGGTCCTTTCCCCCTTGGCTCGGAGGACGCAAAGTCCACCATTTTGAAAACCCGTTTCAAATGTGGACTCGTCAGACCACAGAAGAAGGCGTTCCCACTTTGCATCAGTTCGGCTTAGTTAAGCTCGGTGGCGTTTCTGGCCGTTGTTTAGAAATGGCTTTTGCTTTGCAGGGTCGAGTTTGAAGTTGCCCTTCGGGATGTGGCGCCCAACTCGATCGAGTGACTTGTGTTTTTTTTTTTTTTCGTTCCCGAGCCCACCTGATGATCTCCTTGACACAGCGATGTCGCTTTTTGATGCAGTGCCGCCGGTTTTCGGCCTCGCCGCTTCCATGTCGTGCTTTCTCCGGATTCGCGGAACCTTTTGGTGATATTCTGGACCGTGGAGGACGGAATCCCTCAATTCCTTGCCATTGAGGAACCTTGTCCCGAGACTATTTTAAAAAGCATTTTAAAGAACTCTGTGTTTTCTATTCTATTGCTAATTTATGATATTTATTCTACAAATATATTGCTCATGCTGTATTTTATATTGCACTTTTATTGAACTGTGTAGAGTTCTTTCTGAAACATTTATTTTGTGCAATGAATCACTTTTTTCTTCCCCCCCAATTTTGCTGCTGTCGACTGCAAATTTCGCAAGTGTGGGACAAATAAAGGTTATCTTATCTTTTCTCACGCAGTTGTTGACAAAGAGGTGAGCCTCGCCCGCTCAGTGCCCGTGAACGACGGACCAATTCGGGGAACCTCCTTTTCCAGCCAATCCTGCCCCTACCTGTTGCCGGTATTCACTTCCTGCTTCCTGTGGGCCGTCCCAAGCGGGGGTTTGATGAGCATTCCGCAGGTTTTTGGGGGCCACCTGTCTCAGGCTTTTCCGAACGTGATGCGGCCATAAAACTCATAAAGTTCATGATTATTTGTGAAAAAGAATCAAGTTGATTCGTTTGAATATGAAGAAGCTTGTCATTGGAGTGTATTCCATTAAAATATGGTTGAACACCATTTGCCAATCATTGTAATGTGTTTTTATGGACGTTGAACACAATGTCCCGACTTCATCGGAATTGGCTTTGTCGATCAATGTTTGGATGTTTTCGGATAAAATGAGACATCTGATCGAATTCCTCTTCATTGGTCACCACCGATTGCGTCAATATACATCGTCCAGCTCGTGCTTGTCTTTCCAATAAATCAGATTGAACACGAACTGTGGTAAAACCTTATTTCACCCAAAAGTGACTTTGTGCCACCCACGCACGCACGCACGCACGCCGTCCATCATGAAACTCGACCAACTTTTCGTCGACTAAACTTGAGCAGCCATTGATTACTGTATTGGCCCAAATATAAGACGGCCCTCATTATAAGACGAACCCCTCTATTTCAAGACTCAAGTTTGAAAAAAGACTTTTTGAACACCAAATTAATTTTTATACAGAAAATAATTCCAGTCCATCTGAAACAAATGAGTCTAACAACATATTTGAGAGAAACAGCATATTATTTTGCCTCATTCAAATCTTAATATCTGAACATTTAAATGTGTCAACTAAAGTGCAATCACATTCGTAAATGAATGACTTCTGGTTTTTGAAATGTAAAAGACATCATAACTTCTCCTCAGCTGCCGGTTAACCGGGCCGATCTTGGACCCACTTTTCTCCAGATTGTCGCTACATTTCTCCATTTTCTGTTATCTCTTCTATTATTTTCTTCTCGTTTCGTTCTGACTGCTACTTTTTATTTTTCTTCTTCGTGCTACCGCTATTTTTATTTTTATTCTTCGTGACAGGGGTTCGCTTTGGCCTGGGGAGTCAAGCGCAGCATTCGCTTCAATGATATCTGGCGCCATCTAGCGTCGTGAATAGGTATAACGTCTAGACCCCGAATATAAGACAAACCCCACTTTTTCTTATTTCAATGCGAAAAACACCGTCTTATATTCGGGCCAATACGGTACAATGTCACAAATTAGTCTCATCCAATCAATGTAATCAAATGTACACAGCTTCTAAACATGTTTGTGTGCTTTCACTGTCAAAAATACTTTGTTTTATGAATTTATATTTATATTTATTTTCGATGTACATACAGTATTTTACTGTGTGTGTGTGTGTGTGTGTCTATCTATCGATCTCTCTCTCTATATATAGCTATCTATATCTATATATGTATAGATATAGATAGAGAGAGAGAGAGAGAGAGAGAGAGAGAGAGAGAGAGAGAGAGAGAGAGAGAGAGAGAGAGAGAGAGATACTGTACACACACCCACAGTCACACAAACATACAAAGTTGTCATGGCAACTGCACAGGCGACAGATGCTTGGCTCCCTTCGCTGGAGTCGTGACACTGCCAGTCTCCTTGTCCATCCAACTGCGAGAGGGCACTCAGACCTCGAGAGGGTGTTGGTGTAGCAGGTGAAATGAATTCAGGTTGGGGAGGGAGGGGGAAAGTTGCCGGTTGGTTTTCACGGTGGGACGCGTCAGGTCTGTTTGGCGCAGCCGAAAGTCCCCACAAGTTTGAGAACCCCGCAAGGGAGCCGGGTTGTATCGCAGCAGGGTTTGCCGTTGGGAGTCAGTGCCGGTGGTTGTGGCGGTAGCGGGCGGATTGGGAGTGCAGCAGGATCTTCGTGTACTGGATCTCGGGCATGACGACCTTGAGGCAGAGTTCCCGGCTGGAGGACGGGCGGCTCAGGTTGCGGGGGAGGTCGTAGCCCAAGATCCCGACCTGGGCGCTGGGCTGCCAGGGCCGTAGGTCCTTGTTGCGGATCTTCCCCGCCGAGCTGCGAAGAGGACGG